CTTACACATGTATAGAAGCAGCTACATGTGTTCGAAGCTAATTGGCCTGTTTGTTACAAACTTGCTGAATTACAGCCTGAGAGCAGCACTCCCGGCCCTTCCTGCTCATTGTGCCCTAACCAGGGCTGGAACAAGCCTTAGCTGTGTGTCCCCACCTGCGTGACTGCTCTGATTTGCGCCATGAAGCCCACGGGGGTTCCTGGTTTCCTGTGCTTTCTGCCTGGCTCCTTGGCCCTCCCTTAATTCTGTTGGACCTCTCACATCCTTCTTGTAAAATCTCTTTGAAACTCAGTTAAGAGACACATTGCGTGCTTCCCCTCAAATAATTGGATGGACTCTGCCCTTTGTGCATGTCCTCCAGGCCCATACGTGCTCCAAGGCAGCTCTTAAATACCACGCTTATGGCTCAGTAGCCTGCCTTTTCCTCCTGAATGTACTTCACGGTCTTAATGTTAACAGAAGTATTAAGTAGTTCAGGCTGGTGTTCACCTGACGTGTTGTGGAGATGGGATAACCACTTGGCAGACTGCAGCTCGGTTAAGCCATCTCCAGTTGGATGAGCCCAGGGCCAGCCCATGCTCTTGCTGCTCTGCGAGATGCAGCTCCTGTCTCATGAACCCTCTGCTTCCTGTGCCCTCTGGCCTCCTTGCCAACATCTTCCATCTTAGCCCGCCAACCCCCCACCGCCCCAGCATGCGCTCCAAAGAGTGCTTGGCTTCCACCATTTTTCCATTAATTCACCTCTCTGCAAAACCAGCTCAGCAGTCTGGGTGTCTTCTGCAAATTTCCAAGCATTTCCAAGAGGAAGCACAGTGCCCCTTCCCCCTGAATTCCCAGAGTGGCTGGCTATTGTCTGCTTGACAGCTGCTTGCCTTGTTCCATGTGTGTCTCAGTCCAGACTGGCCCACCTGTAATCCCAGCTGCTCAGGAGGCTAAGACAGGAAAATTGCAAGTTTGAGCCAAGCCTGGGCAATTCGGCAAAAACCTTGTCTCTAAAATAAAATATTAAAAGGGCTGGGGATGTAGCTCAGTGTCAGAGCGCTTGCCTAGCATGTATGAAGCTCTGAGTTCAATCCCCAGTACCACCAAAAACAAAACAACAAACCAGTGAGGCATCGTTTTCATGGCATAAATGCTTCCATCTCAGGGGATGTGCTCAGCAAGCAGGACTTGTCCAGGCGGCTTGCTTGCCTTGTGTGCTTTGAGTGCTCAGCAAGGCTTTATGTGTGAACTGTTTGACCCGTTATGAACAAAGGTCTCATTACCCAGCGTTAGAGACAGAGAAAAAGGTGTCCAAAAGGGATCTGACTTCATTGCCGTGTGAGAAACCTGCTCCTGAAACTAGCACGGAACCATCTTCTCAGCACTGCTCCCACCTGGCCCGGGACTTGCTCATCGACTCCGTGATGATCCACCTTCCTCCTCCTGCCAGAATGTTCATGGCAGCCCCTCCCAGACTCCTTTGTAAAAATTAGTTCCCCTTGCTTTACATAATACACTCATCCCGGGGAGTTGGTACTGTACGTACTGCACCAGTCCTTTTGTTACTTCCTCTTCCCCGGCCCTCTCTTGCTGCTCCCTCCATCTCTAGAGCCCTCCACATTTACAAAATATCTGGCTCTCTGTTTCCTATTATCTTTCCATTATTTTGCTCTTTAAATTATTTGTACTTTGGACTTTTCATATAAGGGTAACTATGCAATACTGAAGCTTGTGTATCTGATTTATTTCACTATTATGCTCTCAAGGTGTATCCATTTTCCTACAAATGACTTAAATTTATCCCTTATAGCTGAATGTAAATACATAATTTTCTTTGTTCATCTGTGGGTATATGTAATACGATGTGTTTTTCTCTCAAGGAGTTACCCAGAAGAAGACTAGCTGGGTGGAATGGAATTTCTAATTTTAGTTTTTTGAGGAATCTCCATTCTGATTTCCACAGTGATTATACCAGTTTATACTCTCACCAATAATGTAGAAGGGTGGGTGCCTTTTCCCCAGAGCATTGCCATCATTTGTTTCTTTTAAGTTTTTTTTATTTTGGGGGAGGGTACCGGGTATCAAACTCATGTCCTTGCTCTTGCAAGGCAGGTGGTGGAACCACTGAGCTAAATCCCCAGCCCCTCTTTTAAATTCTTGATAGCAGGTAAGATGGCATGTTAGTGTTGTTTTATTTTTTATTTATTTATTTGTTTATTTTGAGACAGGGTCTCACTATGTAGTTGAGACTGACCTGGAACTCACTATGTAGCCCAGGCTGGTCTCGAACTCACAGCGATCCTCTTTTCTCAGCCTCCCAGGAAGGGGCTATGATTATAAAGAATGTTTCCATAATTTATATGGAGCCTTCTAATGCTCACATACAGATGGAAGCGTGACCCTTTAGATGTTTTTTTTTTTTTGCTCTCAGCATAGTGCCCTAGAGATCTACCCCAGTTGCGGTGTTCACTGACCACCATCACAGTCCATTCCTTTGTGCTGCAGAGAAGCCTTCCGTGAAATGGATGTTCTGAGTGCCGTGGGGTCAGCCATGCTTTCCAGAATCTTACGGTCCTGTTCAATGAACAAGTCAGAATGGTGGGTGAAGGTGAAAGACTGACATTTATTTTAAGGCAAAAATAAGAAAAGAGAAAGGAAAAGCAATGCAAAAGAAGTGCTCAAGGAGAAAAGGTTGTTTGGAAGGGGAAAAAAAGGAGAAAGTGGCTATATCCCAAGATATAAGGTCTCCAACATTCATAAATCAATAAATCTACTACATCACACAAACAGAAACAAGGACAAAAATCACACAATCATCCCAAAAGATGAGAAAACCTTTGACAAAATCCAATATGCGTTCATGATTAAAAACCTGGAGTAAAATAGACACTGAAAGATCTTATTTCAGTCTGAGAAAAACCATTTATGACAAACCAACCACCATATTGAATGGGGGAAAACTAAAAGCTTTTTCTCTAAAATCATGAACAAGGATGTCCTCCATCACCACTCCTGTTCAATATAGTCCTTGAAACTATCCAGAGCAATCAGGCAAGCAAAAGAAAAAAGATATGTATAGGAAAGGAAGAAGCCAAATTATCACTGTTCACAGACAACATTATCTCTAACATGAAAAACTTAAAAAAATTTCCACCTAAAGACTCTAAGAACTAATAAATTCAGCAAAGTGACATAATACAAAATTAACACACAAAGATTAGGCATTCCTATGCACGTACAATGAGCACACTGAGAAATCGAGAAAGCAATACCATTCACTGTAGCTGAGAGACCTGGGTGCTGGGCATGGTGGCACATGTTGGTAATCCCAGCTCTGAAGAGGCCGAGGCAGGAGGACCACTGAGTTTGAGGCCAGCCTAGACGAGTGAGTTCAAGGCCAGTCTGAACTACATATAAAATAAAATAAAAATCAAACACCTAGGTACTAACTTAACCAAGGAAGGGGAAGACCTCTACAACAAAAGCTACAGTGCTCCGCAAAAGGAGATCCAAGAAGTAACCTGAAAATGGAAAAAACGTTCCTATTCCTAGATAGGCAGAACTAACATTGTCAAAATGAGTGTAGTACCAAAAGTGACTTACATATGTGATGCAATCCCAATCAAAATTCCAACATATTCTTCAACAAACTAGAAGAAAAGTCCTAAAATGTATATGGAACCAGGAATATAAGGAATGTTCATGACTGAGGGTACAAGAACGGTCAGTACAGGTGTGCAGACAATCATTGGACTTCTTGGTGCTGGACAGGTTGTGTACTCCATCCTAAATTCTCTTTTTAATTATCTGTTCTGTTTACCGAGAATGGGCTGTTGTTTGCTGAGAGCATCCTGTTGGGTTGCGAAGGTCTCATTCGGACCAGGTATGACAGCACCTAAATGATGTTTGCATTGGTTGAATTCTGTATTTGAGTGCAGTGCTGGTTACCTGGCTATTCCCCCAACCCCCCCAACCTCTCTACCACACACACACCCCCATACCAGGGATCAAACTTGGGACCTTGTGCTTGCAAGGCAGGCATGGTGCCACTGAGCTAAGTCCCCGGCCCTTACCTGACTCTTTATAAACTGGAGATGGTGTTGCATGCCTGTATTCTCAACACTCTTAGAGACTGAGACAGGAGAATCACAAGTTTGAGACCAGCCAGGGAAACTTAGTAACCTAGCAAGACCCTGTCTCAAAATGAAAATGAGCTGGGGATGTAGCTTAGTGCAGTGGCCCTGGGTTCAATTTCCAGATCCATAAATAAATAGGTACAGTGACATAGAACTGTACACACACTCTGCCAATTTAATTAATTAATTAACATTTATTTATGGATTTTTGAGACAGGGTCTCACTATGTACTTTAGACTGACCTGGAACTCACTGTGTAGCCCAGGCTGTTCTTGAACTCATGGCGATCCTGCCTTAGCCTCCCGAGTGCTGGGATTATAGGCCTGCGCCACCACACCCAGCTCCCAACTTAATTTAAATACACATTTTAAAATCTGTACCATAATTACGTACGATGCAGCCATTGGGGGAAACTTGGACGAGGACCTCAATTATATGCATGACATGCAGTACGTATGTATAACCCTTACTGAGGTTTGAGTAGGGTGAGGATGACTGAAGGTCAGGCTAGGAGATCAAACATGCATGTACTCTCATCTAGAGCCTCAGAGATCCTGGGTTTTTGTTATTTTATTTTCTACCTCTTTTAGGAGAATGGGAGGAAGAATAGGCCAGGCTCGGATATTAAATGGGGGGAAGGGAATGACTTCCTCAGCTCCATTATTGCTAAGGGTACTAATTCTGCCGGTAACAGACACCCTTGCAAATCCTGACTTCTGAGGTTCACCATCCTCTGGCTTGGGAGCATTTTCAATGCCTTCCCCATCATTTACGTGAAGGGAGGCCTGGGGGTCTGGAGGGAAGCAGAATGTAGAACCAACCCTGGGTCAAACAGTGGTGATCAAGAGTTATTATTATTTTTTTAGAGATAACTAAGGAACTAGAAAAAGGAAGAAGGACTCATCAGTTGCAAGTTCCCCTTTCCCTCCTGTTTTGCAGTGTATGTTACGGTGAGGGAAATTTGCTGAGGGTGTGGACAGAATTTCTGGTTCCCTGGTTAGCCCACATGGCTGCATGCTGAGACTGGTTCTTTTGAAAAGCCTCTTGGTCAACATTTTGTTCATTGCAACAAAAGTCTGGGTCTTGAGGGAAATATATGCGGTGAGGTGAGGCAACTCGAGAGGGGCAAGGGGAGCAGACAGTGGGCAGCTTGGATGGGTAACCGCAGGTGCTCTCACGATAAACTGTGCCGATGCAGCCTGGCTTCTGCATCCTGTTTCCCCATCAGCTGCTGCAAGGTTCATCATAAAATGACATAGAGCAAAATATCGTTAGGAGCAAAGGAACTGGAGTTGTGTATACCATGGCTATTCAAAAAGATGGAGTGACTGGGAACTGATTTCCAACTGGTCTAAAATTCCGTGATCTTAGAATTTATGGCTCATAGCTGTAAATACCATCGAAACACTGACAGTGTTCTTATTTCTGTCTCCAGCCTCCTCCTTTGAACTGTCCAGCCCGAAAGCCAGAGCACTACTCAAGATCTCCATTCAGAGGTCTTGCAGGAAGCTCCAGCCTCACATATCCAGGTGTGAGCACCAGCCATTTTTGCTTTTCAGACAGAGACTGGTCAAGTCGTGAGTGCACAAGCTGGGCTCGAACTTGCAATCCTCCAGCCTCAGTCCGCCAGCTGAAGTTAGAGGTGTGCACCACCACACCTGGCTGCAGATGATGAATTTTAACAATATATTTTATGTAACCCAATATATTTCAACATGTAAAAAGTATAAAAGTGTTAATGAGATACTTTATATCCGCTCTTTCCCATACTAAATCTTTGAAATCTTGTTTGTATTTTTATACATAAAACACAACTCAGCTTAAGATTTCCAGAGGTTAAAATGAAATGTCGTCCTACCAAACCAATAAAACTGTGGTTAACAAGAAAAAAAATCTATATCTGCTCTCGTTTGGATCTGATATGACCCCCAAAGGCCTATGTCCTAAAGTCTTGGTCATCAGCTTGGCCCTGCTGGGAGGTGGTGAGACCTTTAAGAGGTGGCTCCTGATTGGAGGACTTCTGGCCACTGTGGGTGTGGCCTTGAAGGAGACTGGCCCCACCCCCCCATCTCCTACTCCGTCTGCCTCCCCGAGGAGGGCATCTTGCTGTGCCTGTGTCTCCTGTCTTGCTGTGCTGCTTCCCAGAAGTGATGCAGCCCAACCACCACGGATGGAAAGCTCTGAAACAAGAGCGAAACCTGCCCTGCTTAGAAGCCGATTGCCTCCGGTACTGATGGCAGTAATGGAACGCTGACAATGTGTTACAGATTCAGTCGCTTCAACACAATTTTCGTTAGGTTCCATTACAAATTCAGTTCCTCGGTCACACAAGGCACATCCCAACTGTTCAGGAGTAGGACTGAGTAGCTCCACATTGGAGATGGCAGCCCCGAAGAAACTTCTCTTTTCCCCTTTGTTCTTTCAAGATGCTGACATCTTCTTTCAGGTCCTTTGTGGGTGCTGATGTGGGGTGAGCGCCCCCGCTTCATGGTTCGTTTTTGGAACATTTTCCTTGCTCTTCTCTCCTGGTGACGGTTGTCTCCCAAGGCCTGGGGAAGACACCAAAGGTCTTTACTCCTTGAAGATTTCCCTTACTGCCTCAGTATCCCTTTCTCTAACTGATGCCCTCAGTGATATCCATATTTGGAGGGAATCTTCCGGACAAGCTGGCCTCTCAGTTCTGAGCCGGGAATCTCGGGGTCTCCTCATTCATTGCCACGGCCCTACCCGAGACCTGTCCAGTGTCACCCCACTCCGACAGAAATCTCGTGTACCTCGCTCTGCTGTCCCTGCCCACTCGCCCTGGTGCCCCCCCCAGACCACAGGGCAGTGTGTCGGCCTCCTGCTGCCGCTTCCTCTCAGCTGTCGCTTTCTGCCTCACCCAGCTTTCATCAGGCGGCAGTTGTTGGGATCACTTCTGTGTAAGTGAGGCCTCAGCGCCCTTCCCGTTTCGTCTGGTCACATCGTCTGGCCATTTCCAAATCCATCTGCACACCGCTGGATGGAAGCGAGCGGCCCCTGTTCTCACACAATGGCCATCCACCGGCCTCTGCAGTCTGCAGGGTAGGCCAGTCCTCCAGAGGCCCTGATTCGTGCAGCCTCACATTCTCCGAGATGATATTTTACTATCCTCAGGAAGATTGGCTAAATGCACTTCCCCGCTAGGTAGAGAGATCATGTAGGAAACTTACATATACCTTGTTTCCTGGATTTCTAAGGGTGAGGTAAGGGGGCCAGCTTCCTGTCACTTCACATAATGTAAATAAATCACATATCTCATAAATGCTCACTAGAACATTTTTTTGTGAAAACTCACATGCCAAATATACTTTGATAGAATTTGGCATTTTTAGTTCAAACCAAACCAAAACAAAAACCCCTAGTTCCCTGTCTATCCTGAACTGAATTGTTTTGATTTTTGTTTGTTTGTTTGTTTGTTTGTTTGTTTTTAGCAAAAGTCTTACTATGTAGTTAAGACTGACCTTGAACTCACTGGGAAGCCCAGGTTGGCCTCGAATTTACAACTTTAGTCTTACAATTGAAGTTGAAAACAAAATCAAATCCCTTGTAAAGATCTAATTATATTTTTCTTGGTAATAAATTGCTGATTGCTGTTATCTTTAATTTAAACTAAGGGATATTATCAGTTGGTAGTTAAACATATGAATAATTATATTCATTGTTTAGTGGGGGCACAGCAGTTAACGTTCAGAGGTAGTGGAAGCTTAGACAGGCGCGCCCTCTAGCGGAGATTTTGTGCACTGAGGCTTGTAGGGCTGCAGGCCCGGAGTGTCTTCACCAGCTGTATGTACAAATGAATAATCCGAAGTTTTCCCCTTCCTCCTTTCCTTTCCTCCCTCTCTTTTTCTTTCCTTCCCTTCCTTCCTCCCTTTCTCTTTCTTTCTTTTCTTCCTTTCCTCCTTCTCTTTTTCTCTTCCCCCCATCTCTTTCCATCTCATTGGGTCATGGTGTGAAGATAATGCTGGCTTCCTGAAGTGAATTCTTTCTCCTTCTGCTTCCCATGAGGTTTTATAGAATTGGACTTCACTGTCCTTTGAATGTTTGGTAGAATTCTCCAGGGAAATTATCTGCATTACCAATTTATATTTTAAGCAGGTCGTGGTGGCGCATGCCTGTAATCCCAGCACTCAGGAGGCTGAGGCAGGAGGATCACTGTTGAGTTCGAGACCAGCCTGGGCTACACAGTGAGTTCCAGGTCAGTCTCAACTGCACAGTGAGACCCTGTCTCAAAAAAACAACAACCAAACAAACAAAAACAATTTCTATTTCTTTTAGAAAATGAACTGTAAATTCAGTTTCAGTTATGCAGCTGCTCAAGTGATCTCTCTCTATGTCATGATTTTTGAATGTGTGCGTGTGTAAGCCAGAAATCCCCAGGTCCACACACGTGTGAGGCAAGGTTTAAGCTACAAGCAAGCTGCTTTCATTCCGAGAGTGTCTCACTAGGCTGCCCAGGCTGGCTTCCAACTTGCCATCCTCCTGTGTGAGCCCTCAAAGTCGCTGGAATCACAGGCAGGGACCACCATGCACTGCTAGTTTGTGCTTGTTCAAGAACTGGTCCATGTAATCTGTTATTAAATCCACATACGCAGAGCTGTGCGTGGTATTCCTTTATATTACCCTTTGGCGTTTGCTGAGGTAACTGCAGTTTCACTCCTGATATTAGTAATTTGAATATTATAATCTCTAAACTATTTTAGAGATATTTGTAATTATTATTATTTTTCTTTGTTTGTTTCTTCCCATTTTTGGGGTTTTTTGTTTGTTTGTTTGTGTTTTGGTTTTTTGAGACAGGGTCTCGCTATGTGGTTGAGACTCACCAGGAACTCACTATGCCCGGCTTTATCTATCTTCATAGAAGTTTTCAGTTTTAAACTTAAATTGTCAAATGGCAAACTCTCCACTAATTTTGCGTTTTTATATCTTGATTTTCATTGATTTGTCCTCTTTATTATTTCCATTCTCGTGCTATTTGGGGGCTTATTCTTTTTGTAGGTTCTTGAGGGAAATCCTGGGTTGTTGATTTGGGACTTTTCTTGTTTTCTGATGTATGCATTTAGTGCTATGAACTTTCTTTTTAGCACAGCTCTAACTGTGCCTCACATATTTGGATATATTATATTTTTATTTTCATTCATTTCATTTTCCTTTAAAATCTGCTTTGAGACGCTCTCTTTAACCTGTAGATTATTTTGCCTATGTTATTTAGTGTTCAAAGTACATTGGGGATTTTCTTGTTATCTATCTATTATTGATTTCTAGTTGCCAGGGACATGGGGCTTTTGTTCCCCTTCAATTGAGCCTCTCTGGCCAGTCCCAGTTCCTTGCCACGGTGGGACTTTCACAGCGTCAGTCCCTTCACTGGTGACTTCATTCTTGTCCCCAGTGACAGCTGGATGTTTGGCTGTGATAAACGGGGACAGAGAGAAACCAAGCACCAGAGGGAGTGGCCAGGAGATGTGGCCAGGGAAAGGGAGGCACTGGGGTGGGGCAGGGCTGGGCTGGGAGGGACAGCAGCACCGGCACATTGGACACTGGGGCCTGAGGGCCTTATGGTGACCCCTGTGTCCTGGGCGACTGCACTGGGACTGGCCGGGAAGCCACACCTGGGCCCTGTCCCTGGGAGACCCAGTGCTGGTGGGGTGGCCTGGAAGGTGCAGCAGCAGGAGGTGGGCAGAGCCTCCTGCAGAACAGGGTGCTGCTCAGGAAAAGGGTCCTCTCTTTTCTTCTCATTTTGCTTCTTTTTTGAGATGGGGTTTGCTATGCAGTTCAGGCTGGCCTTGAACTCACAGCCTCAGCCTCTTGCCTTAGCCTCCCGAGTACTGGGAGCACGGGCATGTGCCTCCATGCCCAGCTCAAGAGGGCTTCTTTCTATTCCTTATTTTTATTTCCTGTCGTACTCACATCTTTGTACAGACTGAAGAGCTAAATATCTCCTAAGAGGTTTTATCTGCAGAGAGGGCAACTCCCTCCCCTGCCCCTCTCCATGACCTGCTTTCCCAGAAAGTCACTTGCTCCTCCGCGCTGAGCCAGGAAGAGCTCTCACATTATGCACCCCATCTCCTGGTGCCCTAGCTCTGCCAGTGGCCTTTTGAGGCATCCTGCTGTCCCCCCATCTGTCCTGCGAGCAGGTGGACCTCAGGATCACTGTGCTATAATTTATTGCAACAGTTTCTCTCTGAGGTGAAGATTTTCTAGTGAGTTCTCAATCGGCCTTGGTTTGCATTTTCCCTTCCCCGTGCTTCTTTTTCTGATATTTGTGCTTTTTTTCACTCATTCTCTCTTGCTAGTATCTCTGAGTCACGCACTGTCACTGGAAGGGGTCGGGCAGGTCCCTGGGAGGGGAGCCAGAGAGCCAGGCAGGTTCTTTCCTGGAGAAAGGGATTCAGGAAGGCTCAGCAGGCAGAGTAGACAGCAAAGCAGAGGAGGGCAAGGCTCCCTCAGGGGCAAGGGGAGGGGACACAGGCTGATGAAGAGTAGGGCGTGGCCCTCACAAGGGAAGGGGCTGCTCTATGGGCGCCGCGGTGTCTGGGGTCTGGGTCCTCACTTCCTCAGTTCTGGTGTCCAAAGGTCTGGAGAAACCGTTAAGGGAGAGGAGCAATTCATTTCCCGTAAGATGAATATCCAGAAAAGTGATCTCACCATAGGGTCATCTGCAAGGCTCTACTTTTCATCAGCTCAGGAGATTTTAAGACAATGGACAGGGACTTTTAGGCATTGCTCCAGGGGGCCTGGAATCAGCTTCATAAAAGATGGTAATAAGATGTCCCTTTATGTCCTGAAAATGACTTTTTTTTTTTTTTTTTTATACAGTTTTTCTAATTTGCCCTGGCTGGGGTGGACCTTGCAATCCTCCTGCTTCAGCCTCCCAAGTGCTAGAATTACAGGCATGAGCCACCACACCTACCTTACTGTAGCTACTCTGTTCTTGGTGTCTTTATCTGGAAAGGGAAAAGTAGGTAAATTTAGGACTAAAACTTTTGCTTTTCCAGGCTTTCCTAAATAACTGACAGTCCTATATTCAAAGTTTTAGGTAATACGAGATACAAAATTTAGGTCTAGTTATTCACTGGGTATTTGTAGGCCCAGCCTCTCCGTCCTGTTACAAATCCTCCTTTGACTTACTTAGTTCACAGCATAAGCTCACCTAGGGAGTAAAGATCTGGAGTCCAGATATAAATAATCTTGTGTGACTTTGACTGGGTCCTAGAGTTGCAGTTTTTAAAATAAAAATTTTAAGGGCTGGGGACTTAGCTCAGTGGTCCCATTGCCTTCCTGGCAAACACAATGTCTCAGGTTCAATCCCTGGTACAAAAAAAAAAAAAAGGCAAAAAGAAAAATTTTACATAACAAATTTCCTCTTTTTTTTCTACCTTTTTATCTTCTCTCTGACCTCAGTATATTTTTTTCCTCAAATCAGTTTTAGCAGGAAATTATCTGGAGGGGAATGGAACCCTGCGGCCCAGGTGCTCATGAAGTTTCACCCAAAGCCAAAGATTTCTCGCAGGGGACTTCGCCTCATCTTAGAAGATGAAAGACAATAGCCAACCTGAAAGAATGTATGGGTTGCCCTCGTGAGCCAGGAAGAGAATTTATTCCAGAATCCGCCCTGGGGGAGCTGTCACTGGGCTCTGGACACGGATTCCTAGGATCGACTTCTGCAGCCTCCTCTGTTCTCCCTCCTGGCCATGTCCTTGGCGACCACCATCCGGGAATTTCATGTTTCTCCACTCACTGCTTTTCTTTGAATTCGCTTACAAGTCCTTCTATTTGCAAAAAGCACACTGGGTGATTTCGCGTCTCTTTATGCCGTACGTTTCTTCTGGACCCCGTCCGTCAGTGATTGTTGAAGCCTGGAGCCGTGGTACAATCTGTGTAGCTGTGAAGAATTCCAGTGCAACAGTTGTACTGTATTTTATTTCTCCATTTGTGTTATGTACATTTGGGTTGTTTTCAGTTCCTCTGTTTTGGACAAGACTACCCTGTCCTCTAGGTCACACGGACAGTGTTTATCTAGGAATGGAATTGCACATTCATTGCCACTGGATAGGGCCAAATGCTTTTCCAAAGTGGTCCGACCAGTTTACACCCGCCTCATCCCAGGGAAAATGAGTTCCCACTGTTCTACTTCTTGCAAATACTTTGGATTTTTGTGTGAATATTAACTGTTCACTCTTTCAACCAGTGAAAGGTAATTGTAGGGCTGTACTCAAAAATACATCTCCTGCCAGGGATTTAGCTCAGTGGCGCTACACCTGAGTTGCAAGTTTGATCCCCAATACAGCAAAAAGAAAAAAAAAAGGATGCATCTCCCTTCTTCCTCCATGAAAATGATTGTTTTTGGTCAGAGTATTTCTCCACCAGGTCATCCACACCATCCAGGCCCAGCCATCGCGATCGACAGCACAGCACACCCCTGGCCCTAGGACAGGCATCTAGGTCAATGGGATGGACTCGAAGGCACAGAAATAAACCCTTATAATTGTGGTGACTGTGCTCTGAGGAAGCTATGAGAACGGTTCAGTGGCAGAAAGGATGGTGTTCTTAACAAATGATGCTGGAAGAACTGGATCGTCACAGGCAAAATAGCAAAGCAAGGTCCCTACCTCACACTATATACAAAAGTGAATTCAAAATGGCTCAAAGATTTAAATGTAAGAAATAAATAATACAACTCTTTAAAGAAAACATAGATGTAAATCTTTACGATTTTGGAGTAAGCAACAATTTCTTAGCCAATGCATCAGAACCACAAATGACAAAATAAATGATTGGATTTCATCAAAACTAAAAACGTTAGGCTTTAAGAAAGTAAAAAAAAAAAACACCTGCAAGATGGGAGAAATACACATTATATTATACAATTGCATCTAGAATACATAACTCTTTCAACTGAGCAACAACAAACTCCAAATAACCCTATGAAAAAATAAACAAAGGATTTGCATAGACATTTGACCACAGGTGATATAAAAACAGTGAATGTGCACAAGATGATATGCTAAATACCACTAGCCATTAGAATAACACATTTATTTTTTTTTGGTACTGGGGATCGAACTCGGGTCCTTATGCTTTTGCAGCAGACAGTGGAACCACTGAGCTACGTCCCCAGCCCTTCCATTAGCCACTTGGGAAAGGTGAATAAAAAGCACAATGAAGGGCCAGGGATGTAGTTCAGTGGATCCACGCCTGCCTGGCAAGTGCAAGGTCCTGAGTTCAAACCCTGGTACAGAAAGAAAGAAAGAAAGAAAGAAAGAAAGAAAGAAAGAAAGAAAGAAAGAAAGAAAGAAAGAAAGAAAGAAAGAAAGAAAGAAAGAAAGAAAGGAGAGAAAAAAGTACAGTGAAGGCCAAGTATAGTGACCTAGGCCTGTAATCCCAGCCCTCAGGAGGCTGAGGCAGGGGGGCTGCCTCAAGTTCGAGAATAGGTTGACTACATACGGAGTTCAAGGCCAGCTATATAAGTACATAGTGAGTCCCTGTCTCAAAAATAATTAAAAAGGGCAGGGAATTTGGCTCATCGTTCCACTTCCTGCTTTGCAAGTGCAAGGAACTGAGTTCGATCTCCAGTACCGCATAAATAAATAAATAGTACAATAAGATACCACTTTATACTGACTATGATGCTATAATAAAAAAATAGCTGTGAGGGTGGAGGAAAAGAACCTCAGATACTGACTGCTAGCGTAATGGAGATGGGGCACTCCCTTTAGAAAACACTTTGACAGTCTCAAAAGGTTAAACATAGACTTACACTTTGATTCAGAAATTATACTTTTACATACGTTCTCAAGACAAGTGAAGAGATGTGTGCACACAAAGCTTACACAGCTGTTCATAGCGGCTTTCTTCATAGTAAAAAGTGGAAAGAGCCACACAAAGCACCAACTAATGAATGGATAAACTGTGGTATATCCTTACAAAGAAGGCTTTTCATCACAACAGGAGGGTGTGCTGATACGTGAGTCAAGGAGGACAAACTTTCAGAATGTGCTAAGTGAAAACGCTAGTCACAGAAGACTGCATACTGTGTGATTCCACTTGTAAGCAATGTGAAAATTGGAGATCTATAGAGAAAGGAGACCCGCAGTTCTCTAGGGCCAGGGTAGGGGTCGGCGTGACTGGAGAATGATTGAAACTGTGTGCAGGGCTCACTGTGGGTGATGAGCACACGCTAAGATTAGCCTGTGGCAACAACGGCACACTGCTGTGCATGTGCTAAGGACCATGGTACCATTCTTTCTTTCTTTCTTTTTTTTTTTTTGTTTGTTTTTTTGAGACAGGGTCTCACTATATACTTGAGACTGACCTGGAACTCACTATGTAGTCCAGGCTGGTCTTGAATTCACAGTGATTCTCCTGCCTCAGCCTCCTGAGTGCTGGGATTACAGGCTTGTGCCACCATGCCCGGCCCATGGTACATTTTCAATGGATGATTTGAAGGGAGTGTGAACTACATACCAACAATGCTGTGAAAAGAGAGAGGGAAGAAAGCAGAGAAGAGATCCAAGGAAGCTGAGGATAGTCACCAGGCAAACACTGTCCAGTCCTGACCGCTCCTCTCCTCTCTCTTCCTGGACTCCTTCGCCCTACTATTATCTTCCTCCTCTGGCTCCCAATGGTTGCTTTGCCAAACACACACACACACACACACACACACACACACACACACACACACACACAAAGCAGAGAAGAGGAAGCTGAGGATAGTCACCAGGCAAACACTGTCCAGTCCTGACCGCTCCTCTCCTCTCTCTTCCTGGACTCCTTCGCCCTACTATTATCTTCCTCCTCTGGCTCCCAATGGTTGCTTTTTGCTTTGC